CTCAAATGCTCTCTAACCACTCTCTAGCCTTAGATAGGTCATGAAACCCCGCCTCTCAGCCGCTTATCTAGTTGAATCAAAGGATATATGATTTTCTATGATTTCCACAACTCTTGATGTCATCCGACATGTCAATTTTTAGAGCAAATAATGGATTGGTACAGCATGTCATCAGAAGCGAGTGCATCTATGGAAGCTGGACGCTCCGAAATTTCTAGTGACGCTTCGCAAATTCCAGTCACCTCGAGCTCTGACTTTTTTGAGACCCTGGAGTGGACAGAGCGTCAGCAGGCTGCTGCTCGACCCCCTCCGCCACCGCCACCCCATGAAGCCAAACCTCATGTTACCGATCCAAATCTCTTCTCTATCTTACAATCGGAGAGAACGCAGACGACTGGCGTATCTTCACCATCAAGTCGCAGTAACTCGTCTCGTCCACCTATGCATAGTGTGAGTATGCATAAACAGACTATATGAGTAGTTCGGTAATTTGATCCTCGTGGGCTAGGGAAATGTCTAGACATCAAACATTGGAGTATAAGTAGAAGTTCTTTGTTTTTAGGTCTAAAAATGTCTTTTTAGGGCGCGGATGTTGCCGAAGCTTACGAACGCCATGCGGGCATACGAGTAAGCCATGTTGCAGATCCGGACGCTGATCAGTACAAATTCGATTATGAAAAAGAGACACCTATACTAAGCGCTTTCACTCCACCTTGCGCACCTGTCAGCGAATTCGATCTGCTGGACTTAGGATCTTCAGGTATTGGTTACTATTAATAATCATTAGATCCAAAGACTGGGCTTCTTTGCGCTTATGCGCTCTTTTCAAGTGGGCGCATCTCTCATTTTCCCTCAATGAAGCCTGGTGCATGCAATTCACACTCCCGGTGCCGGACTGTCCGCTTAGCTCTCTGTCCGATCTATGATTGGTCTGATAGTGGATTGACCAATCATGAAGTGACCGGCTAGTCCAGTACCGGACGTCCTGTCAGTCTTTCTGCATGGCCTTTCGTTTATCAAATAATCGAGTCTCCCGAGCACCTTCATAATTTTCGAAAGTCAGCTTTCCAAGTCTACAGTATGTTAATCCTGGCTAAAAATATGTTTGTAAGTGACCAATTCATGTGCACCAGCATTTAGTTTGTGGAGTTAATATTTTTTTGCTCATAAATTATTTACCTTGAAATCTAACAGATAAGTCCGCTTTTTTGACAAGTAGAATCGATGAAAATGCACGCTTGCGCCGTCAAGAATCCTGCAGATTAGTCCTCCCATCAGATAAGTCCGCCT